TTAGCGGATGACACTACATTATTCCTAAAAGATGAAAATCAAATCTCTATTGCTATTGAAACTATCTCCATATTTTCCAAAGCTTCTGGATTGTACTTGAATATTCCTAAATGTGAACTTATGGCGATAAAAGAATGTTCGAAAACAGCTTTGTGTAACATTCCAATAAAACAAGAAGTTCGTTATTTAGGTATCATAATAACCAAAAATCAGGAAAGTAGAATCACTCAAAATTTTTATCCTATTCTAGAGAAACTCAAACGCAGATTTAATCAGTGGCTCTTAAGAGATTTGTCGTTAAAAGGCAGGGTATTAATAACTAAAGCAGAAGGCATCTCTCGTCTTACATACGCTGCATTGGCATTGCACCTTGATAAAAAACTTATAAAAGAGGTTGATAAGTTACTTTTCAACTTTATCTGGAAAAATAGGACACACTACATTAAAAAAACAGTTCTTATGAACTCCTATGTCAATGGAGGACTTAATGTGTTGGATTTTAACACTTTAAATAACACATTCAAAATAAATTGGTTGAAGAATCTAATTACTAATCCTACTTCCATTTGGAATACTATACCTGTGTTCATGTTTTCTAAGTTAGGTGGCACTGAATTTTTCCTTACTTGTAATTTTGATATTGATAAAATCCCTTTAAAAATCTCTGCTTTTCATCGTCAAGCTTTTTTAGCATGGACTCTTATTTACAAGCATAACTTTAGTCCACACAGTTATTATATCTGGAATAACAAGGATGTTTTATTTAAAAGAAAATCTCTCTTCTTAGATAGTTGGTTTAGGAATAACATTGTTTTAGTCAACCAATTATTTGATTCAAATGGTACGCTTTTCTCCTATGAAGAATTTTGTTTACATTTCAATTTAGCTATAAATCGTCATGATTATACAAAAGTATTTGGCTCAATACCATCAGGGGTTTGTATGCTGTTTAAGAATCAACCTAATATCACTTCATTCCACAGGCCGTTGGCATCTCCCATACAAACTTTTGTTGGCAAGATTTGCTTTTCTAAGCAATCTAAAAACAACAATAAATCGATCAGATCTTTATTTCAGAGTACCATAACCACGCTACCATTTTTTTGGTTTTGTAACCTTGTGCAAGACTTTTGGCCGAGATTATGTGTTTTTATCTCAGAAAATGTATTTAAAGGATTTGTACTGTTTTGGAACTATGTATTATTTGGTCTACAAAAACACCAAAGACATTTCAACATTGACAACAGATGTGTGATTAACTTGTTAATCTTGATGGCTAAATGTCATATTCACAAATCCAAACGTTTTGGAAGACATCCCTCTTTTATGTATTTTCCTATGAGCTTGTGCAATATCTTAATTCAATTAAGAACTCTACTAACCCAAAAGCTATAAAAACTATGGTTGTGTGTAAAAAAAAAAGAAGATCCTTCAATCACTTTACTCTTTGCTTTAATCAGTTAAACTTTTCCCCCTAGCAGGTTCCCCCTGTAGGTTCTGAATAATGTTTATTTGTTTGTTTATTGTATACATTTTTTGGTAAGCATAACACCTATAATATAATACTATTTAATTCTAGTTTGTATTGTACTGATGTTTAAATAAAGGTTTGTAAAAAAAAAAAGAAGAAGAAGAAGCAGCAGGGGGAGGAGACGAAGAAGAAGGGGTGTGCGTACTGTGCTCTTTGCTGTGTCTTTCCGCCGTTTTAAAAATGGGCACTTTTTGAAGAACCCGCATCAAAGTATTGTGGAGAAGCGTCGTGTTAAATCTAATTGATGAACGGCTTTTTGTCAGGTATGTATCGCAGCTGCGAAGACGAACGTACGTTCTCCTGTTAGGTTACAGCTGGTAGGAAGGTGCGTTCAGTGTGTCTTTGTAATTTTAAGTTTCCATGTCAAACGAGATGAAACAGTTATTTCTGGATGCGCAATTGTTCGCTGAGTTTGGTAACAATGTGTTTTTGTAAACCACGTGATGATTTAAGTCATTTAATCTTTACAGAACATGTGAGCGAGGCTAATAGAGCAATATTTTTATGTTTAGTAAACTGACGTTTCTAAATGTAACTGCTTTTATTTTATTAGTTCTGACGAGGACAGCTGAGTGATGTTGTTGGTGAGCTTGGATTAAATCATCTCTAAACAAAGAACTTGTCCTCGTGGTGACTGACTTGGGGAGTGGAGGTCAGTGAGCCCATTGTCTCTGCTGGTCCGACTCCAACTACAAAGCCGGCCCGCTCGCCCCCTCCTGAGTCTGAGAGGAGATCCAGAGTAAGTCAGTTATAACTACACTGGTTGCTTAACTT